CCTGCCGCTCTGGATTTTTTGTTCTTTTCTAATTGACCATTTTCTGTGAGTGGACATGCAGACAGCTGAACAAAAGACTAAACCGTCATACATGAAGAGTCTGAGCTTCATTAGCTTCATTAGCTTCATTAGCATGAATAACGGTGAAGCATTGTATTCATCTGTTGTTTCTGTGATGCACTGATGGACGGCGGTGTCACGGTCCGCCCTCGCTGTGAAGCAGGAACACTTGAACAGAGGGAATGTTGTTGTCTTTGATTCACACAGACTGGAGCTTCTTTCCACTTTGCTTGGCAGCCGTGAGTTTTCATCGGGGCGTTCTGGGGATTCCCTGCTCCATTCCAAGAAGAGACGCCGTCGTCCAGAAGGAAACATCTGACTGCGCCGCTCCTCCGTCTGCACTCCGCTGACCTCATGTGATTCCACATCTGCGTTTCATAACGTGGCGTTAACGCAGCGTAAACAGAGTCGGCCGCTCACAGTAACTGGGTGATCCGATATTTCTGTAAGCGGGCCGCGGCGTCGGAGCAGGTTGGTGGTAAAGATGGCGGCCGCCTGCGTGTAGAGGAACAAAGAGAGAGAGAGAAGGATTCTCTCATGCGTCCACGCCCGCAGCCTGACATTTCTCTGCACACACAGCTGCTGCTGGCTGAAGAGATCACACACACACACACACACACACACACTGATAGCATCACGCCCCTAGTTTCCCATGGTGCATTGTAAACAGAACACGCCCGTCCGCCTGTGGCAGCACTTCAGACGACACACACACTCATCCAAACACTGAAATATACATAACACACACAGCTGAGGCTCGTCCAGACGCCGCTTCCTGGCGCAAAGGCTCATGGGAACCGTGCAGTTTTTTATGACCCACAATGCTCTTGGAGCGCGACGGTGGAGTCTGGTGAGTGACCCTAAAGGACCCCCAGCGTGACGCGTTTAGCCTAGCTTAGCACAAACACTGGAAGCAGGGGGAAACTGCTAGCCCAGCTCCATCAGAGCCACTGGCCCCCGTCAGCCGGCGGTCCAGCTGGGTCCAGCAGAACCCGACGAACATCACGACAATCCGCCCGCTGGATTTTGAGGCGTGCACATGTAGACGCGTGCAGAAGCTGATTTATGTGCTCCAGCGTTCACGGTCACCGGCAGAGAGGTTCGGGTTGTTCAGGGTCGGCGGGCTGAAGGAAGAGTGTGTGAAGGTCAGGAACAATAACACAACACAGCTGTGAGGCTTGCAGCTCGCCATCGGCCCCGCGCAGGAAGGTCACTCCGTCTGCAGCGGGCCCTCAGGGGTCTGTCCGCTCACGGGGGTTCACACACGTTTTCACGGGCCGAAGTGTAGCTTCGGTGAATTTGAATTCAGAACCTGCACCTGAACGGAGCTGTAGGACGGTTTAAGGCGCAGTCGGACCCGATCTGCTCCGCATGTTAATTACTGTATTAAGTATAAGTTGTATAAGTTTATGTTCCACATGCACTTCCAGAAACAGACCAGTGGATTCTTAGTAAATTAGCTTATGAACTTATTTCTGGTTGAAAGTCCACATGAGCGCGTAGGATCGGACTGATGCAACTGGCTTTAAAGCCTCAAGGAGAACTGAGCTGCTGCTGTTGATGCATCTGAACAACCTCTCTGCTGCGGCAAACACAAAACAAGTCTTCCAAGCGCCGGATGAATGTTTTCTTTAGCAGCTGATTTAAAGTGCTTTGTGTAGCCGGAGCCGCGTTCTGGACGGAGGCGGGCCCTGGTCCACCGGTCTGGTGGTCTCGCTGCGGTTTCCACCGAGTTGGAAAGGCGAGCCTGATGATGATGATGTGCTTCCCCTCTCTCACCTAACCAACGTTTGAATCAGTCGTCAGAGTTTCACTTTAAACACATCAGACGGATGAAGTTTTTTTTTTTGACAGAGGTTCGTAGATCCGTCTTCTGGGAACAGTGACTGTTTACGAATATTATTAAAATATGACGAGGTTTTTTTTACTCAGAAATAAACTCTTAAACTGATT